TATTTCCTAAACCTAAGCCTACCAATGTCTGTTTCTTACTCTGTTAAATCTGTTCTGCACCATCCATCAACATCTCATCAATTTATTCATACAGGTTTAAGTAAATTATAGAGAATGAAAATAAAAATTATCACTGGATCATGTTTGGTAGATGGAATGGCCATTCCATGGAGCATGGTTTTAGGATTTTAGAATGACAGCAAGTTAATAATACGGAGGGAAAAAATGGAATAATAGGAATGGGTACACCATGCTTGTTATCTAGTTTCTTCCTAAAACCAGGAATAAGTTGGGAGTAACTAAAACCAAAGGGAAGGGGGGTGGGGTGTAATAGCTATTCTCACCTTATGCCACTTTAAAGGGAAACAGGCAATGTTACCACCTTATTCCTGTCTTGTCACACTCTACTATAATTCATTTTTAACACAATAACCATGAGCATCCATTCCATTGAACAAAACATAACCTTAGAGCTCATAAACCATCAGAAATAGAAAATATAACACAGGCACACCCCATGTAAAAGATAACAGAATGATGAGCCATCAAATAAAAACTTAGGAGCAATTGCACTAAGTGCCTTACTTGTCATTATACTTAAAACAAGCAAACTGTTCCTCAACCATATGTAATTTTATTTCAGGCCGCTCACCAAGAATCTAAAATTTAAAGAAACAAACATGTTAGTAAACAACATACAAAGTTCAATTTAAAGAGAAGAGCTGCACTCACCCTTTTCATTAATGGAACATATATTGCCTCTGGAAGATATGCCAGAGTTGTACCACTATCAATTATAGTTCCTTTACGATCTCCAGTTTCAAATACATCAGTTGGAAGGTCTAGAGCTTCACCACCAACATCAACTCCCTTCATAACAACATTGTAATGTTGCCTAGGATTGTTGATATAAAAGAAAAACATAATTACGATACAATCCATTGGCCAAAAGGCTTAAGTTTAGAAAGGGGAAAGCAATCCAAAACCATAATTAAGCAAAAAGGTTATACTCAAAAATATTATAAAACTATAAATGCAATTAACTCAAAAGCCTATAGGAATCTATCTTTCATGAGTTGTTTAAGGAAAAAAATAATGCACAATTAAAAACTTTGAACACAGCAAACACCAAAATTAGCATCTTTGTGGATGAATCAAGCAATTCCCTCTTGTTAAAAACCACAACTCTTATGAAAAATTAATGCCAAGCTTTGCCATTGAAAGATTATTTTCTGAAAGACTATGATTCCTGAAATTAGAAACAAGGTAGAATTCTCTCGTTCCTTCATCCAAAGAATTTTAGAACCATTTTGTCTATAGGTGTCTCTTTGCGCCTCTAGTTTCTGTTAAGACCTTCTTCCTCTCAGTTCATTCATAAGGGTCCTTAACAACCTGAACCTCAATTTATATATACAGTAGCTGGAAAACAATTAAGATGTTACATGTTTATCAAAGGCACATCTTCCTGTTGAATGCCTAGGGCTAAAGTTATAAACCTCATTTTTTTTTCCCAAGTCACTCACACATCAACCCTTTCTCTTACCCTACCAAACTAAAAACTCTAAAAAACTCTATTCTGAGCCCACCAAAATCCTCATACAGATTATGTATAATCTTTCCTACACCATATCCATTTCTTAAACATTAGAACCACTAAACTACCCTCTACAATGCAAAGGAGGCACATTCTTTTCAAATTTTCTTCACTTTTCATCCCAAGAAATTTGTCTTCAAAAACCTACTGAGAAACTTAAAATGTCAGTCCCTTAGACACAAAAATCAAACTCGGGACTGAAAAACCCTCATCTTTACCACTTTTAACATTCTTAAAATTACAAAATTACATACAAATTAAAGCACAACCGCTTAAACAGGATTCAATGCAAGCAGCTGGAAAATAAACAGCATTAAAATAAGTAGGTCAAAGTGAAGATGGTCATAGGGAAAAGAAAAGAAAATCTGAGATGCCTGGCATCAAGCTCAATTCTATTACAACCGAGCTGTAACTATAAAAGCTGATAAGTTAGAATGCCCACAGATGTAGCAAATTATAAGAAATTTAAGAAAGGAAACTTACTGGTTAGGAACCATGGGAGTAGAATTCACTTTTGGTGACACCACTTCCCCAATTGCAAAAATTCCACCTCCATTTACATTATCCAGGCAATGTGAAAAAATTTTTTTGACCTTCCCCGCTGCTGCTAGCTGTGAAATGACAGATGAATTTGATTCTCCAAATCCAAGTATCCCATCAACTGCTTCTGATGACGAGCCTAGCTCCCCAGATTGCTTAGCTCCGCATCTAACCAGCATAAAGAAATTCTAAATTACATAAATGACAAAAGAATAACTTACAACTAGATACAGTTCAATAACAAATTTGAAAAGTGAAGAATTTATGAAAATCCTTTAATAAAAACATTCAGAGGACACACAAAGCATATTTGGCACTTTAGCAACAACAAGGGAAAAGAAAAAAGAAAGGGATAAGTCAAGCAGAAATGTTATGATAACTATCACAGGTCAACTAAGCTGAAATTGAAAATAATATGGGGAAGTAGGGGGTGACTAAATGGAAAAAATAAAATAAAATAAAAATAAAAGTCACAGGGACAATCAACAGAAGGAGAATAAAATCTTGTTTTCTATATTGTTGAAAGCAGTCACCACATAATTTGAGGATTGTCAGATTGACATCATCATAGCTGATGGGTGTATTGTATCAATTGCTCAATCTACAAATCTCTTGGACAAATCATTTCTGAAAATCCAGTCACATGCCCCTTAATTTTAACATGAAAACAGTAAGCCACACCATAATAGAATTTCAACTAACCCGAATACAACACTCCCATTTGTTAATTTGGTTTGAAGATTTCCAGTCACTCGACTGAATTGGATGTCGTCTTTCACAAAGTAACCTGCAGTTGCGCTTCCATCACCATAAACAACACTATATTGGCACTGCAGACCAGGCTTGCAACCAGGAAGTTGGCCTTCATATGTAGAAGTGCAAAAATCTTGATCACAGTTAACAGGACTTGAAGTTGAGGAAGCCTTTGGATCATACAATGTCAATTCAATCTGTCACATATCCAAATCAAGTTTGGTATTCTCCCAGTAAAGGTTGATCATAATTTTTATACCCCAAAATCAGTAAAAAACAATATGAAGAAATGCTTGCATCTTTACTCGTCCAAGAAAATGATAGAGAGATTAAAATCTAGAAATAGAGTCAAAGAAGCATACACCAAGATCACTCTTGGTTGGGCACTTGACACATTCAACACAATTTACCCATAGAAGGTCACTTCCTGTATCAACTTGCACGTAATAATCCTTTGGTGGATTCCCTAACCCAATTTTTGCGAAGTAAAGCCTGAACATGTTAAGTAAAGAACTAGTCATTAGCACCCAAATTTAAATATAAGAAACTAATTTTGTTTAATAGTTACAAAATTAAAACAAAGAAAAAGAAAACCTTCATCCTTATATATCAAAGAGTTGCCCGTCAATCAATTATTTAGCTCTAGCTCAAAAACAACAGGACCCTTTTCCTGCGTGATTTTCCTCAATCATTTACTTAGCTCTAGCTAGAAAAAAGCAGGACAATTTTCTTTCTTTCCTCCAGTCTCTCATCAACCAACCAAAAAGAAAAAAAGCTGGACAATAGAACAGCTAAGCATATTAAACAGAAAAAAAAAAAAAAAAATGAAAAAACTGACCCAGCGTCGGAGGGATGGCCATTACCACCCAGTTGGAGATCGATGGCGGAAAGAAGTCTACCTCGTCGGCGTACATCATGAGACATCATGGCACTCAAATTCCTCCCCCTACCCGCAAACTTATGCTGCACCTCAAAACTCACAACGTTCCCCAAAACACGGCCAACTTCAGCCACCGCAAGCACCACCAGAACCGCCCACACCCATTTCTTCAGATCCATCACCACCCACATCTTCGAAACCCAAAACAAAATTTCCCTACAACTAAAAAACTCTTTTTTTTCACAAATTTCTAACAAAATTACTTTCTTTTTGGGTTTTTCACGGATTAGAGAATGTGGGTCCTGGGGTGCCCGTGGGAGAAAGAGAAAATAGGCAACACCCCAGAATTGAGAATGAAGAATGTAGGAAAACGAGGAAGAATGACGGTAGAAAGAGGCAGGCACGCGTTTTCAACGGGCTCTATTTGGGGGGGCGTTGTGCGCAAAAATTGGAAAAATGGCGTCGTCGGTTGTCCCCTTTTTCGTTGTCGTTGTCTATTCGTCGCCTATTCTACGTCTTGAGATTTTCTTTCTCCCACGGATTTTTTAGAATGGAATATGGTATTAAACCCCCAACTTTCCTTTACTAATTCATTTGAGGTGTAAATTTTATTTAGGAATAATAAAACATCAATTACTAAAAAACCAAAAAAAAAAAAAAAAGGTGGATTGCCTGAGAGATAAGAGTGAATTGTGTTTTATCGTGAAATTCAAGATAAAAAAGTACATATTTATCCGTGCGAATGTGGACTTTTAGGTTCATATGCATAAAAACACTGTATAAATATTTATGAAATGATCGATTACAAACATTTTTATTTTGTTTAATTTTAGTAGTTTTAAATTTTTTATCTAATAAAAAAGAAATGAAATAAATAATCGATAAAATTTTATAATTTCTACATCCTAAAACAATTGTATTTTTTAGTTTTTTTACTTTAAATTTATCCTAATTAAATCTATTTTTTCATTTTTTAAGATAAGAAAATATGTTTATCTTATTTTAATCCTATTTGCTTTATTCAATTATCTTATTAAAAAAAATCTCTTACTTTTAGGTTTTTTTAAGGATAATATGTACATATATAAATTATCTATAAATTCTTAATGAAAAAAAGTAAAAACAAAAATAATTTTTTTAACACAAAAAAGTATTTGTTTCTAATTAGTGACTACTTAAATAAGTTTTTTATTTAATTTATGTCGTAACTATTTTTTAAAATAAAGACAAAATAAAAATAAATGTATGAAACAGCATCTTAAAAAGGAAATATATAACTAAATTTAAATATTTTAAATTAAAAATTAAATCTACCACAATCAAAATTAAATGCAAGGAGTATTAATGAATCACTGTGCAAAATTTTATAATGGATAATGATAAACATTCTCTTTTTTTTTTTACTTTTTCTCGTTACATGTTGATTCTAAAAAGTGTAGTAAAAAATTATGAAGTTTTGACATTTTAAATATTTAAAATTATAAAAAAATATTTTTAAAAATTAATATAAAAAATTATTTAAAATATTAAAATAATTTTATTAAAAAAACCCCTCACATTTAAAGGTATTAACACCGACTAAATTTTAACTTTTCTCTTCATTGAATTTTTGCCTTCTCTTGCGCGGCACTTAGTCAAATAAGTTCCTAAAATAATCTGTCTTAACAAATAATAACAAATTCGGTAAGTTCCCGAAATAACCAGTCTTAACAAGGAAGCGCATAAACTCGTAAAAATCTTCGTATTCCCTTAAAAGTTGATAAAATACATTGGTACACATTTACTTTAGAAAATTTTATAATTTGACTATTTTTAACTGATTATATTATTTTAAAACTTTAATAAAAAAAAATAAATATCCAACATTGGAGGTCTTTTTTTTATCAACCCTGCTTCAAACTTAAAATTTTATTTAAAAAATTATTTTTTTATTCAAACTAACAAATTATTGATGGTCTTACCCTTTTATTAATGCTAATAAAAAGCACAGCATGTATTGCATCTTAATTTTTTGTTCACTTTATATGATTTCATGCGATGGTTTTTTCTTTTCTTATTGGCTTTTGCTCGATGGGTTAATTAAGAGTAATGATTTGTTAATAAATTTTTTATATTATTTTTTTTTTATTGCATGGACCATCCAATATTCGAAAGTCCACTGAGTTACCGACTAATCGGATTCGAGCAGAATATGACTCAACGAACGGTAAGACTCAACGAACGGTAAAACTCTTCTTCATGAGTTTCCTCTGATTAAGTTAAGGACTCTGATTAAACTGAAAAAGTCCCCTACTAACTCATTTACCCATTCATGAATAATTTTTTATATTATTAAATAAATAAGTTTATGTAATAACCCAAATTCTAATAAAATAAAAGGAATCATTAGAGTAGCACTAGTAAACCCTAGATGAATTGATAATATGCAATAAAAATCTTAACTTACACTAAAATTTAATTTTTTTTTCAATGGTAATTATAATTTTTTTCCTCTTTCTCTAAAAATTTTTCTTATAAAAAATAAAAATAAAAAAAGAATCGACAGAGTAGTTGCCCTCTAATCAGCTTTTCTTCTGGACAGGACTTGTTCGGCATCAGGAGGCTTTGTTTTGTCGTGTTTCTTTTCCTGTTTTCCTTGTGTTGGCTTTATGTACCATCTCTCTTGTTTTATCCTCTGCTCTCAGTTCTATGAATGTAACTGGCAGTTAGGCATATTTGAGATATCTTTTAATAAATAGTTCAGTTTTGATGAAAAAATAATAATAATTACTAATTAAATAACATATAATATTATATAAAAAATTATTAATTATTTATTTTTTATTAACTAATGGTCTTTTTATTTTTTTCAATAACTAATGTTCTTTTTACTGACATTGACATTTTCTCTCCACATGATTTGTTAATGTTTATAAGTTCAAAGATAGATTTGCAATCAAAGTTGCATTAAATGCTTATTTTCTGGTAGAAATTATTTTTGGTTTAATTTGTCTAATATTTCATTCAATTATTCTTAAATTTTTTTTTTGAATAAATTCACAAGATGGAATTCAAATCATTGCCCTAAAATGAGGGAATACGTTTTATATGTAACCTACGGTCATTGAATCCGGAGGCCGAAGTGCCAATTCAATTATTCTTAAATTAAGGCTTGATTCCCCAAAAAAAAGGTGTAATTGGACGAAATTTAGTTTGTGACGCCACACTGTGTTGCCTCTCTTTACTCTAATTTTCTACCTCCCGCTTGGCACGTTACATGCCTTTCTTTTTCTGACTCTTACTTCCACTCTTTTAAAATA